TTATCATAGCTGTTAGACTATCTTCTAATTTTGCTGTTTCTTTTTCTAACATTAAATATAAATTATTTTCTATTTTTTTTATATCGTCTTCCTAGGTTTGAAAATATTATTTTTATCATTAATCCATCTTGATTTTCATGTCTTTTCATCTACTGCAAACTCTTCTTTATTCATTATAATTTATAAATTATGTTATGTTGTAATTTATATTCAAGGTGATCTATTTGTATTTTTAACATAAGTATAACTTTTCTTTGTACTAATATTGATTTATTACATACTCCTGCTAACATGTTTTCTATTAATCTTTCTTTCCTATGTTGTAGTTCTTGTCTTTTTTCATCTATTTTTCCTATCAATTGTTGCCTATATATTTCTTTGTTCATACTGTTTTTTCAAATAACAAACATATTTATATTCTATTTTTGAAATTATATTTATCAAATAATTTGTCTTATCGTTACTTATTTTAGTAAGTTGTGATAGTTCATATTCTATGTATAAGAGTTTTAATTTTTTCCATATCTTTCGTACTTTTTTATCTATCTTGGTTTTTGTTATTTTATTTTCTTTACTTGTTGTATTATTCATTTATATTTTTCTGTACAAAATTTTAAAAAGTTTACTTAATTTATTTGGGTCTTTAATAAATTTTATCTTATAATTATTATTACTTCGTTTTTGCCAAACTTCAAACCTTTTTGGTTCAATCATTATAATTCTAATTCTATTTTATCATATTGATCTATGTTTTCTTTAGCTTTTACCCAATATATATATTTTATCATTGATCTCTGAATATCTCTAGATCATCATATAAATCATTTATGTCAAAATAAAATTCATCATAAAAATTATCTTATATATCTAATTCAGTCCAACCTTGAGTTGTTACTTCTATTACCTCATATGTTACTAATATATCATAAATTCCTCTTTTTATATCTGTATTAAGACCTTTTAGTATATAGAGTATTAATATTTTGTAATTAACATCATCATCCAGTAGATAAGTATTCATTTAATTATTTTCCACTTTCACTAAAATTTTATTACTTCCAACCTCTTAATGGATTATACTTATTTATTATGTATTAATAATGGTTTAATAATCATCTCGTCTGGTCACTACTACAGTTTTCTTCTTTGATTAGTTACCCTAACAGCGCCTCAACTTTGTTTACTCCCCTAAACGGCCTTCTTGCCTGTCGGTTTCAACCTTAGGATGACATAGTCTGGGCATACTTATTCGCATAATATTTCTGTAGCAAACTTTCTAAAGATGGTTATTATAACATTATTAAGACATGATAAATAATCATAATCAACAAGAGATTATCAGGAATAAATAGATTTAGCTACTCATGAACATAAACGAATATACCTGTTCTTGTAGATTTTTCATCTCTGAATTTTCAATATCTTATTTTTTGTGAACTAGCTACACTTGCCCATTTACTATTGTTTCAAAGATATAATATTGTTTACCTCTTCTAGAAAACTACAGGTATAAACAGAAACTAAATTATATAGCTGATTGATTCTAAAAACACGAACAACTGTTCATATCCAGGAAAAAGGAAGGTTGTTATGCAACTTAAGCGGCGCAATACGTATAGCCAGGTGTCTGCTCACAAAAAGGAGGTGTTGTTGCTATGTTGCTGTACATATTCTACAAGGCATAATTTTCTTGAAAATCCCAATATTGACACCTCAATGCAGCAAACATCATCTTTGCATAGAGATGGTTTTCCAAAACAGACAGCATTTATCATCTGAGAAATTTCGGGGCTTTCTGAAAAAGGTTATCATTTTTATTAGCTTAATACTGCCAACTCTGCCACTCGATTTCTAATGAGAGTAGTCCACATTATCTATTATAGACTTTTGGTATCCCAAGATTAAAGGCTAAAAAAATAACTGAAAATCTGAAAGAATATTATGGAGAAACTATTACCTCACACTCGAAACAAAATTGAAAGAAAAGAGGCGGGGATACTTGACCATCATGTCTTCATTTAATTCTCAAGTTACCCTTTACTGGAATAATGACTATGCATACGGACAATCTAACCCTTATCTGTAACAACCCTAAAAATGGATTTGCTAAATAATGCTTAATGTGTCTAGAATGCCTACAATTAGACCGGGTTCACACGGATTGATGCACGTAAAACTAGACCTCTGAAACCTTGCGAAAGCTAAGTCAACTAACTTGGGGAGTTAGTTGAGATAATAAAGGTTGGGTCTAGCCTTGTAGGGCTCCCAAATATGAAGATTTACTCGGATGAGTCTTTACCGGACTTAAAAAGGGGAAATCTTAAGTTTGAAGGGTCTAGGGGTGAAATGGTCTTTTTTCAGGCTAAGGGTAGTATGTAATTATCCTAAATATGAAATTAATTATTAGGTGGAATGGCATTTTTGACAGAAAGGGCCGGAATTGTCCATTGAGCAAAATCTTGCTCCACCCCGGTTCGAACCTAGGTGGGAGCAATGATTTAAATTGATTATTTATATTGGTGAATTAATTAAATTAATTCATATTTAAATGCTGATTTAAGAAAAAGGAAAATCAGATTATTATTATCAATTAATTAATTAATGAGGCAGTTTGGGTCGGGTCGACCCGGAGGGACCCTTTTTCGCGATGGGGACGTCACAGATTCAAACTCGATGGAAGCAACATTTAAGTAGATTAAATTGAGGTTTCTAATATGATTTTGTAAGGGAATTATGGTCATTTCACTAAACTAATTATATCAGATTTTCAAAGTTTGAAAGAGTCCTAGTTGACTAAGTCTAATTATTCACCTAATCCTAAGCCACTCAACTCTTTCACGTTTATCTCTCTCTCCTTCATGTCTATCTTTCTCTCATTTCACACTTTCTTTATGGCTGTCAAACATGATAAAAAAGTCAGAAAACAAAAGTTCTTCACACTTGAAGAACTTGCACGCAAAACACAAACGAGAAAGCAATCCGAAAATGTTAAGCAAAACGTAATATTCTAGTCGAGTAATGTGTGAATTTCGGGATTGGACGTGAATTTGGAGAAGTTTTGCGCATCAAGTTCAAGTGTTGAACAACGTTAAAATAAGGTATGGTTTTTCTTACTCTTGGTCCCTTTCCAAAGAAACCCTTAAGACTTAGATAATTCGATTCCGAAACTAGGATTGTTCCCCATTACATGTTTCCTATCACTAGCTCCTATAATTGATCTTAGGTTGGTATGTTTCCTAGCAGATTAGGTATGAAGTGTGATTTTGTGATAATATGTTCATTATTATGTGTTCAGAATTGAATGAACGATGAAGTATGTCTGCCGAAATTTTGTGAAAAATGTATGTGTATGTCGTGACATGATTTTCGGATTTAAGCCTTAAAAATGATATGTTTTTATGGTTGAATTTTATGTGCGAATGTTTGTGTAAATAATGAGGTGTAAAAGTGATGTAATTGTTAGGTAGTGGAGCCTGATTAATTTCAGGTTTTGCCTATTTATTCTCTATTTTAGGCTTTCGTATTTATTCTTTATTTTAGGCTTTCTTATTTCTTCTCTGTAACAAAAAATACTCTGATTTATTAATATAAATATACCTCACCGCCGTGGAAGTTTACTCACGGGGTGTTACCACGAAATATTGAGTTTTCTCTTTCTCTCTATAGATCTCTCATCTCTTTCTCTTGAAAGTTCTTGTGTTCTTCATTCATCTAGTGTGTGTGCGTGAATTCAATCCTAACAACTGGTATCAGAGCTAAGGAGATTCAACACGATCACTGAAGATGGATAGTTCGAAACTTGGAATCGAGAAGTTTGATGGACCCGATTTCAGTTTCTAGAAGATGCAGATCGAAGATTATCTGTACCAGAAAGATCTTCATGAACTGTTGACCGGGGTGAAGTCGGAATCCATGACGGAGGAGAAATGGAAACTCAAGGATCGCCAGGTTCTAGGGTTAATCCGGTTGACTTTGTCAAGAAACGTGGCATTCAACATCGTGAAGGAGAAGTCTACGTCCGGTCTGTTGAAGGCACTGTCAAACATGTATGAAAAACCATCAGCTATGAACACGGTATATTTGATGCGTAAATTATTCAATTTACAGATGTCTGAGAATGGATCCGTTTTTGATCATATAAACGAGTTCAATATGATTGTGAGTCAACTCAATTCTGTGGACATTAATTTTGAAGATGAAATTAAGGTGTTGATTTTGATGTTATTTCTGCCCGAGTCTTGGGATACTGTTGTTGCTGCGATTAGCAGTTCCCGTGGATCTGAGAAACTGAAGTTTGATGAAATCTGTGATGTTGTTCTTAGAAAAAGTATTCGCAAACGAGAAGTGGGAGATTCATCGGGCAGTGCTCTCAGCGTTGATCGAAGGGGGAGAAGTAAGACAAAAGGCCAAAATCAACACGTTCGATCAAAATCAAAGAATCGAGGAAAATCCTTGAACAGATCAAACGTGACTTGTTGGAACTGTGGAGAAAAAAGGCACTTTCGGACGAACTGTACAAAGCCAAAGAAGAAACAGAATCAGAAATTTGGAGATGACAATGATTCTGTAAATTCAGCAGAGGACATTGGGGATGCTCTAATCCTTAGTGTGAACAGTCTGGTTGAATCATGGATTTTGGATTCTGGTGCATCTTTCCATTCGTCTCCAAGCAAGGAGTTGTTCCAAAATTTCAAATCTGGAAATTTTGGAAAAGTATATCTTGCTGACAATAAAGCCTTAGAGATTGAAGGAAAGGGGGATGTTTGCATAAAAACCACCTCGGGAAACCAGTGGACATTGGAGGATGTCAGATATATTCCTGGGATCAAGAAAATCTGATCTCTGTTGGTCAGTTGGATAGCACGGGGTATGCAGCAATGTTTGGGAAAGGTTCGTGGAAGATCGTGAAAGGTGTTATGGTAGTAGCTCGTGGCACAAAATTTGGAACCTTGTACACCACTGTAGGGTGTATAATCATGTCCGCTGTCGCTGAAGGTGCTTTCGGTTCATGTTTGTGGCACAACAGACTTGGACACATGAGTACTAAAGGAATGAATATGCTGATTACAAAAGGAGCATTAGAGGGTCTGAAGTCTGTTGATATGGGTCTTTGCAAGAGCTGTGTTATGGGCAAACAGAAAAGAGTAAGCTTCACAAAGATTCCTAGAGAGTCAAAGAAAGTGCGGTTGGAAATGGTCCATACAGATGTTTGGGGACCATCTCCAGTATCATCACTTGGAGGATCCAGATTCTATGTTACCTTCATTGATGATTTCAGCAGGAAGGTATGGGTTTAATTCTTAAAGCATAAGTCAGATGTGTTTGCAACTTTCAAGAAGTGGAAAGCTGAAGTTGAGAATCAGTCCGGTTTGAAAGTCAAATGCCTAAGGTCTGACAATGGAGGAGAGTATGGCAAATTAGAGTTCTAGGCAATCTGTGCAGCTGAGGGAATCAGATTGATGAGAACAGTTCCTGGTAAGGCAAGGCAGAATGGAATTGCTGAGAGGATGAACAGAACATTGAATGAGCGTGCAAGGAGTATGAGGATACACTGTGGGCTGCCCAAAACACTTTGGGTGGATGCTGTGAGCACAACTGCATGCTTGATCAACGGGGGACCATCAGTTCCTTTAGGGTTCAAGATTCCAGAGGAGGTGTGGACAGGAAAAGAACTCAAGTACTCACACTTGAGGCCTTTTGGTTGCATTGCTTATGTTCATGTTGATCCAGAAAAGAGAGACAAACTTGATGCCAAGGTTGTGAAGTGTTACTTCATAGGCTATGGTTCTGATTTGTTTGGTTACAGGTTTTGGTATGACAAGAATAAAAAAATCCTGAGACATTGTGACGTGACATTTGATGAGTCTGTCCTGTACAAGGACAGAGAGCAGAAGGTTCTAGAGATTACAAAGCAAGTGGGAGTTGAGGTTGAGTTGGAGAAGAGTAACCCCAGAGATGTTGAAGCAGATACTCAACCAACTCCTACTGAAGAATCTGAAGTGGAGCAAGTTACACCTGAGCAGATGTTAAGGAGATCATCCAGATCCATCAGGGCACCAAATAGGTATTCACCTTCATTACACTATCTATTGCTGACTGATGAAGGGGAACCAGAGTCTTTGATGAGGCCCTACAGGTGGAGGATTCGATCAAGTGGGAGCAAGCCATGGATGATGAGATGAGGTCACTTGAGAAGAATGACACATGGGTGTTGACTGAGCTACCTGCAGGGAAGAGAGCTTTGTTGAACAAGTGGGTGTTCAGAATCAAGACTGAACCAGATGACAAAAGAAGGTTCAAGGCTCGTTTAGTGGTTAAAGGATATTCACAAAGGAAAGGTATTGATTATGCTGAAATATTCTCCTATTGTGAAGTTAACCTCTATTCGAATTCTGTTGAGTGTTGTTGCATCGGAGAATTTGCATCTAGAGCAAATGGATGTAAAAATATCGTGTTTACATGGAGATCTGGACAAAGAGATCTATATGCAGCAACCGGAAGGATTTGTGGTTCCAGGCAAGGAAAACATGGTGTGCAAGCTCACCAGGAGCTTGTATGGACTAAGGCAAGCACCAAGGCAGTGGTACAAGAAGTTTGACTCCTTCATGACCAAGAGTGGATTCTGCAAAGCTGAAAAGGATCCTTGTTGTTACTTCAAGAAATACACTGATTCATATGTCTTTCTACTCTTGTATGTGAATGATATGTTGATTGCAGAATCTAGTATGAGGGAGATTAACAATCTGAAGACAAGGTTGTCTGCAGCATTTGAGATGAAAGATTTGGGTCCAACAAAACAGATTTTGGGGATGAAGATTTCTCGGGATAGATCTACTGGCACTTTAAATCTATCTCAAGAGTTGTACATTGAGAAGGTGTTGAGCAGATTCAGGGTTAATGATGCTAAACCCAGGACTACTCCATTGGCAAATCACTTTAAATTGTCAAAGGAGCAGTCACCCAAGACTGCCGAGGAGCGCGATCACATGGCACTTTTTCCATATGCTTCAGCAATTGGTATTTTGATGTATGCTATGGTCTGCACTAGACCTGATGTAGCACATGCAGTGGGAGTTATTAGCAGGTACATGGCGAACCCTGGGAAAGAGCATTGGGAAGCTGTGAAGTGGCTTCTGAGATATCTGAGAGGTACATCCAGTACTTCACTTTGTTTGGCAAAGGCAAGGTGACTCTATAGGGTTTTGTGGATGCTGATCTTGGTGGGGATGTTGACTCGAGCTAGAGTACATCCGGGTACATTTACACCATAGGTGGAACAGCAGTGAGTTGGATGTCCAGGCTTCAGAAGTGTGTTTCTCTTTCATCTACTAAAGCTGAGTATGTGGCAATAGCTGAAGCTGGGAAAGAGATGATATGGCTGGCAGATTATCTTGAGGAATTGGGCAAGAAGCAGAGCGAAAAGATTCTTTACTCAGATAGCCAGAGTGCCATACAGTTGGTGAAAAATCTAGTCTATCATTCGAAGACAAAGCACATCCAAAGGCGATACCATTTCACTCGCAGGCAGTGGAGGATGGTGATATGTGCGTGGAGAATTGAGGTTATGTAAAATCTCGGTTGGTCTTCTGTAGTTATTGCTACATATGTTGCGGTGCGGTAAAGATGTTGATGATGAAGAGATTTTTTTTGAGAATGTATTTTTTGGATGACTGAGTCAGTCTCCAAGTGGGAGAATTGTTAGGTAGTGGAGCCTGATTAATTTTAGGTTTTCCTATTTATTCTCTATTTTAGGATTTCCTATTTATTCTCTATTTTAGGCTTTCCTATTTATTCTCTATTTTAGGCTTTCCTATTTATTCTCTGTAACCAAAAATACTCTAATTTATTAATATAAATATACCTCACCGCCGTGAAATTTTACTCACGGGGTGTTACCACGAAATATTGAGTTTTCTCTTTCTCTCTCTAGATCTCTCATCTCTTTCTCTTGAAAGTTCTTGTGTTCTTCATTCATCTAGTGTGTGTGCGTGAATGCGATCCTAACAGTAAAGTTGCTGCATTTAATGGTAACTCTTGGCTGAATATAATCATAAAAAGATTACACTTAAAGATGCACCACATGATTCACGAAATGCATTAAGAATTAACGTATGAATGATGATAAAAAGAAGCTGAAAATAGTGAACATATTTTCAGCATTTGGTAGGTTGGGTTCGGCCAAACAAAGTGGTACAAAATGCAATGAAAAATGAATGTAAAATAAGTGAGATTACTAAGGATTGAACCCAAGACATCATTACATGAAATATACAAAAAAAAATGAACAAAAGATTGAGAGGAAAATGGATTGGAAGAGACCAAATTTCCAATTTGCTGGAAATTTGGAAGAGACCAAAATTAGCTGTGTTTTTAAATTTTTTTAAATGTGAGGTCATTGGGGATTGAACCCATGACCTCACCAAATGAAAATTACATAAAAAATTCATGAGAAAAATGAAAGGAAAAATAGATGTGGTGAGTGGGGATTGAACCCACAACCTCTTGAATGGATGAGAGATTTAAGAGAAAAATAAAGGAGAAAATAAATGTAGAGTGGGGATTGAACCCACAACCTCTTGGATAGGTGAGAAAGTTAAGAGATAAATTAAAAGAAAAATAATGAGCTTGTGGGGGATTAAACCCACAACCTCCTTGCCTTAAAACAAAAAAGGAGAGGAGATCAAGAAAGAAATATTATGGGATTGATGGGAATCGAACTAGGGACTCCCAAATCTGAAAAATGCAATCATAAAGTTTAAAATAAGATTAAGTGTTGTTCAAGGGATTCAAAATCGGGTACCCTTGCCCAATTCTGTATTGACACATAAGTCATACGTAAACAAATATTTAATGAATGCTGCCTCTAAAGATCGAAATCAATATCTTGGCATATCTACAAGATGCATAAGTCTTGTACCACATAATCTTGGGTAAACATGAATCACTTAGACAAACTACAAATGAAGCTTCATGGCTTATATGTGTGGACTCATAAGTCTAGCATATGTTTAAAAGTAAGTGAGCCTAAGATGTATGTGATAAAATGAGGTAACCCTTAGAAGGGTTAAGTAAGAGTGTGAAACACACTAAATGTCCAAGTTCATTGGCATATGATGAAATGAACATTCACGTGAAGGGGTGAATAATTATGAAAAACAAACGTGTTAAAGTTAATGTAAAAGATGAGAGCAATCTTAAATGAGCCGAAGTAAATGTTACCACAACGTACTCACCTATGAGAGTGTAAAGTTAATGAAGACACCAGTCTCTATGAACACTCTGTGAAAGTATTGAAGTTAATGCATACTTAATACTAATGATGAGATGAGAAATCATATAATGAGCTATGATGTCCTCATGCTAGAAGCCAGCTTCCATGATGTACGAGTTGAATGCATTGGAACTTTATAATGAACACCGATAGGCTAGTTATGAGAATAGAAGGGCGGAGGTTCACGTAACTCTCATGAGATGAGACTGTCCCACATGCCGGGTATGGGTCTCCTTATATCTCATAGTCTTTGAACCTATACTGCAAATATAGGAATCTAGCAGGGTTCAATTCCCTATACACGTTAGCATGTTTTGGTTCACATTGCCGGTGATTCCACCTCTTTTTGGTATGGGGATTACACATTGGATTTCATCATGCTCACCTGATCTATGCCGATTAAGGTTAAAGTTTCCAAAGAAAGAATGAGGCCAGCCTCAACGAATGCACATAATTAAATGAACGATACCGAAGGTGTTAGGATAGGATAATCAAGAGGTGAGCTAGACTTAAGTAATAACACTAGGTTATTCTTGGTCATTGCACAATGAACTCGATAAGAGTCTTAAACTACATCCTAGGTATGATTGGTGGCTGCACTAGTATATGAAAGAATGAAACTGAAGTACGTATGAATGAATGAAGCAAACTCTATGTTTGTTAAAGAAGGCTTCCTAGTTGAGGTCCCATATGTTGAGACCTCATTTGGGAAGTGCTAATGTCAAGTCCATGATTCCAAGATCTCATGGCATATGAAATAATGATATGAACTATGTGATATGATATGTGTAATATGTTATGTACCGTTTTCAAAATGATAAGTATGATGATGCATGTTATTCTCATGGCATGACTTTCCTAATCCAAAATTGGCAAGTCCATTGACTTGACTTTCCATAATTCATATTGAAAGGGAAGAGATCTTCTTAATCATGCATGTCCTTAGTGTGTACTAATCCCATACAACTCTATATTTTTAGGTGCAAGCACAGGTGGACGTTAGAGCTTATAGGTCGACGCTGAAGCTATCCGAACGTGGAGAATTCATCCGGATTTGCTAGGGCCTCATGCTTTCGAGGACACTTGCCCATTATATTCTAGCTTAGATATAGGGTTGAGTTAGTGGAGTATGTTCCAATAACGTTTCTTTCTCATCTTATTTTAGACATTGTATTGGTGCCATTTTGGCAAGTATACACTTAATGCAGTATGAAACTATTTCTTTCATTTGGTGATCTTAATATTAGATGGTTGATTGTGAACATTTATGAGTTTAAGTATAATGTCTTATATTGTTAAAATTTTCCGCTAAAATTAACCTAGATGAAGTAACAATGACGTATGTAGGCTTGTCTGCGACCTATGAGAGGTCAACGACGCCGGTCTCGTCTGGGGTCTAGACTCCGGTCGTGACATTATCAGTAAAAACCCAAGGTTTATAAATATTACTACATTTCAGAGATATTAACTATTAGAGTTAAGGTCTCTGTTGTTTTTATTACTTGTTGTCTCGTATGCCTTCATTTTCTTACTGCACATGTCATTTTTCCTGCACATGTCTTCATATATAAATGCTGTTTTTTTTCTTTCCCTGTGACGAAGGTCTACTAAGAACAGCTGCCATATGTGAACTTATGTTCCATCTTCTCAGTTTGATGCAGAGCTTGGTGTGCTGCAACTTGCATACTCGCTGAATTGAAAGAACCGAACACGTGTTTATACACATTGTTTGCTTTAATTTGCTTACATCATACTGCAGATGCTAATATTTTCTTTGCCTTTGCAGAAATAGAGTAGTCAGGAACTATCAACATGTATATAAAGCATCTAACTTTTCTAATGACATCTTCATGGATGATGTTGTCCAACACGAAGGTCTCAGATGATCTCCAAACTAAATCACCAAATGAGAGTGTTATTTCTGCGTAAGCTGTATGTTATCTAACAAGATAGCGAAATAATATACCTTTACCTCTTATAATCCTCATATATATGTTCATGTTCTTTGGATGCTGACTCCGTTAGAGTGCTTCATACTGATTTTCCTTGGATGATTTCAGCTTCCATCGCGTCTGCTAGCTTACACTCTCATTTACTTTGCAATGGGATTCCTCTTTGGTTCCTCCTTCAGCTTCTTCTCATTCCCGGTGTGCTTTCCCTTCTCCTCCGTCCACTGATTTTAGGTAATACCTCTTTGGGATTTCTTGTGACGTGCCTTTAACTTTATTCAGTTTTCGTACCTTACTTTGTACCTTTCCCTAGTTTGAGTACATTACTGTTGCTTAATATTATGTCACTCTCCATTACTTGGGAAAGTCAGCTCATTTGCCTTTTTATCTGCATGTAGAAGCCTGGAACTCTAACCCATAACTTTACGCTCTCTATCTTATTCAATATATCCTCCTATTTTTGGAATATTCCTGGACTTTAAAGAGGTGACGACAGTGTAAAACAGAATAAAGTAAAAAATTTAATTTTTAACGGTTAAATATTTTAGATGAAACATTTGAACATGGTTCAACGTGTCATCTTTTCTCTATATGTACACCACTGTGTAATTCAGTTCTTAATATAGATTCTATCTGATAATTAGGCTGTAAGGTTCATTGGTACTGACACATGTCGGTGTGGGTGTACTTTGTGGAAGGAGAGAATTTTATTGGTGAGAACATCACCTTTGAAGTATACTCTTTATCTATTTTTCCTTTTTGCTCTTTGCAATTGGTGCATGTAGATTCATCTTGCTTCCTTTTTTTTTGGTCTTCTGCAATGATGGACATGCAGTGGCAATCAGAATTACTGCTAATCAGACTCCATAATTCGCGGGTGAATATAGCAAGAAATGCCTTATAAGCACGCATACCGATTAAATACTTAGCTAAAATTCTCTTTGGTTCCTCCTTCAGCTTTCTTTCATTCTCGATGTGCTTTCCCCGCTCGTCCGTTCACCGATTTCAGGTAATACCTATTTCGAATTTGTTGTGTTGTGCCCTAAATCTGTTCATCTTGACTTCGTTAATAAACTTGTTCTTTCTACTTCTGATGTAAATCAATTAGTTTAGCTTTTAAAGATATCACATTTTAATAACAAATGAGATTTCCATTGAAATCCTGAGATGCTACAAAGTTGGGGAATACACACACGCCTACGTGGATTTGTACAATGATAAAAAATCTTATCTCTTTAAATCATTCACCACCGACAAATTACTCCAACATTGGAGAACAAGTTAGCAGAAAGTGAATATGTAACGCTTTAGTGTACTTAAGTCGCACATCTACTTAATTTCTTCATTGAAAGTGGGTATCTGAAAAAAAAGATTCAAGATTTGAAGCTTATGAACAGTTGTACAAGCCTCAACTTAAGTCAAAGTATTTGAGGCATAGAAGTAATTTATTGATCGACTAGTTTTCATGTTTATAAGAACCAACAAAAGCTGTAGGTTAGCAGTGTGAAATAGGATGTGCTCTTACTTCTTTATGATTGACCTTCGTGATTATTTACATCAACAATTTGTTCACTTCAACTTAAGCCACATTATTGATGTGCTTTTATAACTGCATATGCAGTGACGTTGAAGTTTTCGTAATTTACTTGCAAAGGTTATGTTAGAATTTTTTGAATGTATTGGTTTAAGAAGATTTATATCACCAAGTTCTTTTTTTTTTTGAAAGTGGTAACTTTGTATATTACTACAACCACTACATAGGCAGTACTGAGCCATATTTACAATAAGATCATCAAATCCAGGTATCTGTACCTAAATTAAGTCTAGTATATCAATTAGGTAAATAATGTCATTTGAGTATAATTGATTACACCAAAACATAGTAGCAACAAGTAATTAAGCTTGAATTTTTGCATGCTATTTTCTATATTATCAAAACATCTAGAATTCCTCTCCTTCCATATTTCCCACCGAATGATAGCAGGAAAACAATTCTCCATCTCTCTCTGCTTTTAGACTGCATTCCAGCTTCTTCCCAACTCTGAATGGCTTTAGTGATCTTGCTTGGAATTACCCATGACATTCCTTTGAGATTTAGGAATAGTCTCCGTAGCTAGCTAGTTACTCTACAATGCAGAAAAAGATGGTTAATTGTCTCAACAGTTTTCCCACAAAATAGGCATATTGAGCACAATGGAATCCCTCTCTTCATTAGGTTGTCTTGGGTTAGAACTGCTTCCTTAGCCAATACCACACAAAACATGATACTTTGAGGGGTATTTTGGATTTCTAGATTCCTTTCCAAGGAAAATTATTTGTCAACTGGAAGGAGTTGTTCAACCAGTTATAAGCACAATTCACCTTGAAAGTACGTTTTTTGTTGCCCTTCCACCATAAAGTATCCTGATCACCCTCAAATATGTTGAGTGGACCAATGGTGTTGTAAAAGTTAGCAACTCTCTGAATCTCCCAATCATTTAAGTGCCTTCTAAAAATGAAGTTCCACCCTTGAGGAGACCAGTGATCAACTATGGACTTGTGCTGGTGTCAATCTTGGAACAAATTTTCCAGCCTGCCAGCCTCATGCCATACATCCATCTTGAGGTCAGTTCTTTCCCCATTTGCCACTTTGATCCTTGTATTTTTTTGAATTCATCCCACAAGTATCTAAAGGACCTTTATACAGTTACTCCATAAGGTATAGTAACAGTTTTGGTCATCTAGTAATCTTCCCCTTCATACTTTGCACTAATGACTTCCTTCAAATAGGCTTGATTTTCATTGCAAAACCTCCACAACCATTTCATTCTGAAAGCCTTGCTCTGATTTTTCAAGTTCTTAATACCCAATCCCCCTTGTCTGTTACTCACTGTTACAACATCCCATTTAACCAGGTTATAACTCCTTTTCTCATTATTTCCCTGCCACACAAACTTTCTTCTGATTTTTTCCAATCTATCAATGACTCTCTTAGGAATTGGAAACACTGACATCATGTAAGTTGGGAGGGAATCAAGGATGAATTTAGAAAAGTGAGTCTTCCGCCTTTGGACAAATATTGTTATTTCCACCTTGCTAACTTCATCTCACACTTCTCTACCACCTTGTTCCAGATCTCACAAGACTGAGAACTGGCTCCCAGAGGCATCCATAAGTATGTTGTTGGCAAAATACCTATTTCCCCTCCCAATATTGCATTTAGATACTCCATGTTTTGTACTTCATTGATAGGGTACAAGTAGCTTTTCCTCTAATTAATGTGCAGGCCTGAGAACCCCTCAAAAAGCACCAGAATCACCCTTAAAATCTTATGTTGTCCTTTTTCAGCATCACATAGAATAAGGGTATCATATGCATATTGCAGATGAGTCACTTCGATAAGATGAGTCACATCCATACTGTTACCTCCATTTTTGCCAACCTTAAAACCACTCAACCAACCCCTCAACTTTGCAGTTTTGATCATGCTATTCAGACCCTCCATAACAATTAAAAATAGAAAATGAGATAGGGGGTATCCTTGTCTGAGTCCCCTATCCATTAATGAGGACCTAACACCTCACCGTGGAGATGCATTGTTTGATCCGCTAGATCCACTTCCTTCCAAAACCCATTCTCTCCAGAGTATTTAACAAGTATTCCAAATTTACATGATCATATGCCTTCTCCATGTCAAGCTTACACAAGATCCCTGGATTCTTTTGTTTTTGTCTGGAGTCCACAGTCTCATTAGCAATTAACATCACATCCATGATTTGCCTACCTTTGATGAAAGTCATTTGCTGAGAATCCACTACTTTGTCCATGACCCCTTTCATTCTCTCTATGAGAACTTTGGCGAATAGTTTGTAGATACTTCCAATAAATCTAGTAGGCCTGAAGTCTTTCAATTCTTTGGCACCTTTCTTCTTAGAAATAAATGTTTTGAAGGTGGCACTCAAAACTCTTTTCAAAAACGTCCTGACCATAGAAGTTTTGGAAAGCTTTCATGATATCACCCTTCACCACCACCCAACATTTAAGGAAAAATCCAATAGTGAAACCATCAGGGCCAGGGGCTTATCGATTGCACACATCTTCAAACAGTTTAGAATACTTTATTTTCCACAAAATTTCTTTGTAAATGAATTTTTTCCTCACCATTAAGTGTCGGGAAATTGTTGTTCCTGAATGCAGGTCTCCAACTGTTTGTTTCAGTATACAATTTCTAGTAAAAATTTACAGTTTCCCCTTATATTCTTGAAGGATCATGAGACAGTTCCCCTTTTATTACTAGTTGATCGATGTCCTTGTATCTATTGTGAGCATTGAACATTTTGTGGAAGAACTTGGTGTTTTTATCCCCCTTTTTGAGCCACAATGCTCTAGATTTTTGCCTCCATGCGATTTCCTCATTTTTAAGTAACTCCTCATATTCTAGTAAAGTTGAATTCTTGCTTGAAATCTCCAATTCTAATAATCCTCTGCCTTTCATAATCTCATCAAACTCAGATAGTTTTTTTTTAAAGAAGAACTCTCCTTTTTGATCCTAGATTCCCTTGTTTACTCATGCTCCAATCCTTAAGTTTGGTTTTTAGAGCCTTAAGTTTTGAAGCAAGAACAAAGTCAGGTCTCTCAGAGATGTTGAAAGAATGCCACCAGCTACTGATTCTATCAGTGAATCCTTCTGTGCCAAGCCACCAATTTTCAAACTTAAAATGCTTCTTTTTTTTGTTCCATACACCCCCTTGTAATGCTACAGGACTGTGGTATGATATGAGTCTCTGTAGACATTTTGCCTTATGTTATTGAAGCTGTCATCCCACTCTTCTGATATCAAAATTCTATCAATTCTGGAGGCTGCCTCGAGATTGTCCCCTTTGGACCGCGTGTAATTGTTGTCTTCTAACTATAGGTCTACCAATTTTAGGTCTTCAATAACATCTGAAAATTCCTTCATGCTTCTAGTTCTTCTCTCACAATTTCATTTCTCCGAGATGAACCTTACTAAATTAAAATCACCAGAAACGGCCCAAGGTCCTTTATTATACCCCTTATAGCCCCCAATTCCTGCCAAACAGACCTTCTGTCTATATAATAATAAGGGGCATACACCCCTGTGATATGGCAAGAGTAGTTGTACAATTGAACCAAAATTTACAAGTCAAAGTGTACATTCCAGTTTCCACAATATCGCCTTTCCAGGCCCTATTGTCCCATAACATTAAAATTCCCCCTCTAGTTCCACTAGCCTCCAAACTTGCACATTTGATCTATCTACCTCCCCATATTTTTCCAACTTTTTCTTCCATATTCCCCTCTAATTTGGTTTCTTGCATACAATTGTTATCTGCATTCCACCCCTCCATCACACTCTTAACCAATCTTCTTTTGTCTTTGTCATTCAATCCCCTTACATTCCACATGACTAACTTGAATTTCATCAATGACATATAGACAGATTTCTCCCCTTACTCCTATTCCCACTATTTTTGAACTTAACATCAAAATTCACTAGGCTTTTCAATTATTAGGAGCCTTGTGGTCTTGTTTTCTTGCACACTATTTCTGGTTCCATTCTCCTTGATTGTCTCGCGCTATCCAATTGTAATAGTAGTTCAAGGGCCTCTTCTTTATGACCCTGCCCCCAGAACCTTCCCCAACTTGATTAGGTTTTGTTGTACCCATACTGATGTCTCCCTTTCTTTATTTCTAACCAATTCTTGTTGTTGAGTCTGTAGTGGTTCTGCCTCTTCTATCTCCCACTCCTCCACTTCAGTGATCGATCTTTGGTCTCCTATTTTGGAAGGTCTGATGTCCTCCACTTCTGTATCTATCATGCTCATATCATTCTCTTCTATTTCAATTAAGTGGTGCAGTGATTCAATTATTGTTTCTCCCACCATGTTTTCCATCTCTTTTTCCTCGTGAAAATCTAATTTTCCCTCTACATGTGTGTATTTTCTGTTTCTGTTCAACTAAATCAAGCGATATATTAGAACTTTCATCTTTTGGGTATTTTCCTAAAATATCATTGAAAATCACTTGGCTTGAGTAATTAGGCCCAAGTTTTCTGGGAATTCATTTCCTTGTATTGGGCTGCTGATAGAGGCCTAATATTGCCCCTTCATTATATCACCATGTTCTGACAGTTGAGTATTATTTCCTTTGAATTTAGATTTCCAATAGATATTATATTGATAACATGGGTTTCATTTTAAACATTTTTCTTAACTCTTAAGCCCTCTCTTGGTATTGATACACATAGAGGTCTTGTAATTGTCTACATTGCAGGTTTTTTTTTTTTTGCATTTTATGTGAACAATGACCTGCAGATCAGTCTATCTTCAAATGCTTTGGTATCTTTCTAAATTCTAAGCATTGTTTCCATTTAAAATAAAAACTTTTCATTGAATAGAAGGGAGGGAAAGAAACACAATGCTAAATCGTGTTCCTGTACTTAATTAACTTCCATAAGTCCTTTGAAATTTTGTCTTAGCAATTTTTCCTGTTACTGCATATCTATTTTCCGCATTGAACTTGTAAATAACTCATATAGGTGAGTAATCAACCATAAAACATCAATTATTAACGGAGTAGCTTATTTAATTTCTACTATTTCAGGATGAAGCCAAACTCTTGTTTGTGTCATCAACTGGGAGAAATAGTAAGGAGTATGATTTATGATACTTGTTCTACAATTACAATCTTCATGTGCACCTCTTTACAATGTAATTTAACATCTAACTGGAGCCATGCAAAGTTTCTTCGTTGGCCTAGATCTCAATGACTCTACCTTTGTGTGCATCGAGTTTTATGGCTAAAATGATATGTGAGATTACCTCATATAAAACTAAAAGATTAGTCTTTTTATTTTAACTTGTTAGTGTAATTTCATTGGCATAGGTGTATCACTGATGACAAAATTCAACACAATAATTTAAATTGATCCACCATATCCACAACGTCGGCAACAAGCATGACACTACATTACTTTCATATATATTCTCACTATCTTTTCCTATCACTAAATACTATCAACTATTAACATTTGTATTATATACAGGTGACCCTGAGAACCTTCAAGCACTTACCTCCTTCACTCTCGGAAATTTATCCACATCAGGATTCTACACCTCTCTTCCAATGGATGAAGAAATGATACCTATTGCAAACATTGATTCGCAACAAGATGTCAGTACAATATTTTCCCTTTACTTCCAAATCTGCTATAATACTTCTCATCCTTATATTTCTCCTAAGACTGGTCCAGACATTTACAACTGAGGCAAAAATACCTTCCCCATTGACCTTAATCTTGTCCATCCAACCATAAGAGAAATTAATTGTATGAGTTGCGACCAGAAAAATCTGATAGTAGACAGGTACATTATAATATGTCTCTGCCCATATTTTCTCTCACATTCTTCTTATTCAAAACATCATATCACTATGTTTTACATATATAATAATAATGCTACAAATGAAGGTTTGATTTGGATCTCAAAGATAATTCAGGCTCAATAGAAAAATCAAATAGTACCCAGATACATTATAATATGTCTCTGCCCATATATTGTCTCACATTCTTCTTATTCAAAACATCATATCACTATGTTTTACATATATAATAATAATAATGCTATAAATGAAGGTTTTGTTGGAAGGATTAACCTAGCTCTAATGGCTACTGTTACATTGAAGATGTAGAGTGGAAGAGAAAAGATCTGGAAAAAATGTAAAATGAACTGCCTTACTTGTATTCATATTTGATATACTATTTATTTAAGAGGTTAAGGCTAACTGAATTATTAAATTATCATAACCAACTAACAGCCTTACAATTAGTCTAACTAACTATGCAACAAATCACAGTACAAGCTTTACTAACTATTGCTCAAAGTACAATTTACACAACAAATATAACTAATACTAATTTCCACACCCCCCCTAGAGTTGGGTGGTGAAAAATATCTAGCAATACCAAGTTGAATAACATTTCTGTATGCATTTGCTTCCCTAAAGCCTTTGTGAATATGTCTGCCAGTTGATCTCTACTAGCAATGTATGATGTTGTAACCAGTCCTTCTTGTAACCTTTCTCTTATAAAGTGACAATCAATCTCTATGTGCTTTGTTATCTCATGATACATGGGATTTGAGTCTATCTGTAAGGCTGCCTTCTTATCACAGTGTAATTCCATTGGTAAGTCCACTTTGGCACCCAGTTCTTTGAACAAACTTTGCAACCATACTAATTCTGCCACTGTGGTAGCCATGCTCCTATACTCTGCTTTTGCTGAACTTCTTGATATTGTGTGGCTTTTTTGACTTCCATGAAATCAGAGAATCTCCATACTTTATTCCAAAAACTGTGACTGACTTTTTGGATAATAAGAAAGATGCCCAATCTGCATCACAATATGTAGTGACCTTCCCAGAATTTCTGCTGCTCATTAGGAGACCAAGTGCAGCCTATTGTTTGATATACCTGACCACATGTAAGGCTGCTTCATAGTGTGGCTTTTTTGGTGCATGCATGAATTGTCTTAGGTGTTGTACTGCATAAGATATATCTGGTCTAGTCATTGCCAAATATAACAACCTCCCTATGAGTCTTTTGATACACTTTTCTATCTTCTAGTTTTGCATCATCACTTGGAGATTCAAACACTTTGTCATATTCAAGGCTGGTCAGTTTTTGATTTTGTTCCAATGGTGTTGTGGTAGCTTTCCTCCCTCTAAACCACATTCGGAAATTAACTCTAATGCATATCTCCTTTGATTCATTAGGATTCCTTTTGTATGACCTTGCAAATTCCATCTCGAGAAAATACCTTAGTTCACCAAAGTCCTTCATTCTAAAATTGTGATTTAAGATTCTCTTGGCTTCTTGAATGAGTCCTTTGTCATTACCAGTGATCAATAAGTCATGAAAATATACAAGTATTATAACAATTCCATCTTGATTCCTTTTGGTAAATAAAGAATAATCCAGTTTACTCTGTGTGAAACCAGACTGAACAAGAGTTGTTATGAGCTTTAAATTCCATTGCATGTTAGCTTGTTTTAAGACATACAGGGACTTGAGTAGTCTGCACACCTTATGCTCCCCTGAATGTGACCTGGTGGCAAAGTCATATAAACTTCTTCTATAAGATCACCCTGAAGAAAAGCATTGTAAACATCCATCTGAAACAAATGCCAATGAGATTGAGCAGCAATAGAAATAACAGGCCTAACAGTCACCATTTTGACCACTGGAGAAAATGTATCATGATAATCAAGACCCTCTTGTTGTGTGAAATCATTAGCAACCAGTCTAGCTTTGTGCCTCTCAATAGATCCATCAACTTTATATTTCACCTTGTAAACCCACTTACAACCAATAGGATTTTATCCAACAGGAAGGTTCACAATCTCCCAAGTATGATTGGCAGTAAGGGCATAATCTCCTGATTCATAGCATGGAGCCAATTTGTGTCCTGAGCAGCTTGGACATAGAAGGATGGTTCAGATATAGTAGAAGAAAAAGCAGCGAGATATGCTTTGTAGGAAGGAGACACATTAGAGTAGGAAAGGCAATTAGATATAGGGTGTATGGGTGTGGATTTAGTGATGTAATCTATATGACAAAGAGGTGGTTTGGTAGCTCTAGAAGGCCTCCTGGGGGGTGGGGGATCATGAGGAGGTACTTCGTGAAATATAGGATGAGAATGAATAGCAGACAAAGAAGAGGAAGTGCTGGTCAAGGTAGGATAAGAATCATCATACAAGGGGTGAGGAAATGCAGAGGAAGGAGGAAAAGTGAGAGATGGAGTAATGGATTCAGGAATTAGAAAAGTAGATTTAGGGTGTTTGAAAGGAAAAATGAGTTCTATAAAAAAGACATCTCTACTAACAAAAAAGTGTCTGAATAGCCATAAAGACAGAAGGTATGGATTTGGAAGAGAACTTGTCAGTAAAAATTGGTTTAGTGGCATAGCATAGACAACCAAACACCTTAATGTGATCCAGTTTGGGAGGATGACCACAGAATATTTGATAAGGTGATTTGTGTGAGAGAGTGCTGGATGGTAACCTGTTAATGAGGAATGTTGCAGTAAGAACACATTCACACAAAAATTTAAAGGGCGCATGGGCTTGGAACCTAAGTGCTCTAGCCATTTCAAGTAGGTATATATGTTTACGTTCAACCATACCATTTTGCTGGGGTGTGTGGACACGAGAACTTTGATGTATGATGCCAAAAGATCCAAAAAGAGAGCTACATTGAGCATTAAAAATTCCAAAACATTATCAGATCTAACTTTTTTAACAGTTTGAGTTTTAATGAGATTAAGAAAGGAATTAATGTGTACTATAACATCACTCTTCAATCTCAACATGTAAATCCAGGTCATTCTGGAATGATCATCGACAATTGTAAGAAAGTATTTGTAGCCATTGTAAGTACATTATTTATATGGACCCCAAACATCCATATGAAGGAGTTCAAAAGGAAATACAAACTTTATAGAACTATTGGGAAATGAAAGTCTAGTTTGTCTAGCAAGTGGTCAAATAGGACACGAGTTGGAGTCTTTATGCGAGTTGATGGACTGAATCTTCTAAAGAACAGCAGTAGGTGCATGTCCAAACTGAGATATCAAAGTGAGGGATCAACTGAAGTTGAAGATGAACAAGATAAGAAATGAACTAGTTCAGTGGGTGAAGATGATTTCTTAGTAACTGGAAGTAGATATAAACCTTCCTTCTCTATACCAATCCGCATCACCTCTTTAGTGTTAATGTCCTGAAAGAGGCAAAAAGAAGGATAGAAAGATACACAACAGTGAAGTTCTTTGGTGAGTTTAGAAATTCACAGAAGATTATATTCAAAATGAGGAACTAGAAGTACATTATGTAGTACACAATTGTTAAACAGTGAAACAGAACCAATGTGTGTAACTTAGTTGTTTGTCCATGTGGAAGAAAAACTTGATTGGAGTTTAAAGGTGCAGGAGTGGACTGTAATAAGGATTCCATACTATAAATCATATGATTGGTAGTTCCAGAGTCAATTACCCACGAAGGTTTGGTCAATCCTGCGGAAAAACACCTAGAGTTAAAGCAAGTATTAGAGTTGGGAGGTATACTTGCCATGTTGGCTGTTGCATTCGCCTGCGAGGTGGTGTCATTATCCAACATCGTCATGATGTGTTTGTATTCATCAGAAGTGAAGAATGGTACAACCATTGATGCAAAGGAGGAATGTGCAGTTTCTAAATCCTCTACCTGTCTACTGATCTGACCTTCAAAGCCATTTGTGTAATGAGCATTGTGGGCCTGATTTCTCTTGTATCCACCATATCTCTATTGTCTATAACCTCCAAACCTTTGTCATTCATCTCTAGATAGTGGCTTCCTTTTAGTGTTATCTATATTCTTCTTACCATATTTGTGATCAAATGGGTACCCTATGAGCTTATATCAATACTTTATTGTGTGATTTCTCATATGACAATGGTCACAATACAAACCATTTGGTTTTTTGAACTTGCTATGGTGCATAGATGACAGGGCAGTTGGATCCTTCACATCCATTTTTTGAAGAGGTGAAACTAAAGATGAAATCATATGAGGCTGGCCTCTTTGACTTTCATCTTGCATGATCATGGTGTAAACTTGGTTTAGATTAGGACTAGGAACTGTCATTAAAATGTGACTTCTAGACTGAGCAAATGCTTCATTTAGTCCCATCAGAAACTGTATAAGTTTTTGTTTCTCCATGTGATGTGCATATTCTCTGTACTTCTCACATTCACACGATGGGAGAGGGACTAGAGAAATATGTTCATACCAAAGGTTCCTAAGCTTATAATAATACTTATAAACACTAAGAGAACTTCTCTCATAGTGCATACTTCTTAATGCAATTGGTCAATTCTAGTGAGATTCCTTTTAAAAAATCATTCCTTTAAATCCAACCAAACATTATGAGCATTAGGCGAAAACATAAGGCCATTTGCCAGTTCCTTTGAAATAGAATTGGTAATTCATGACAAAATAAAAGCATTACACCTTTCCCATTCATGCTCTAAATCTCTTTTATACTTTCAACAAGTTCCATCAACAAAGGCTATTTTATTCTTAGCTAACAATGCCACACTCATAGAATTACTCCAACCTTTATAATTTTCTATTCCAGTTAACTGTTGTGAAATCAAAATGCTACATGGAGTGTCTGAGGGATGAAGATGAAGATACATGGGATTCTTGGGATGAATATCTATGAATCCAATTTGTGTCAAATTTGATTGCAGTGATGTGGAAGGACGCAGTGTGGAAGGAACTGATGCAAGTAGATCTTCTCTGGTTTCCATTACTCAAGCTCCTTTTAACAATGCAACAGTTGAATCGAATAGCATGATGAACCTGGACCTAATTTGACCCAAATTCAGATTCTCCAATCTGCAGTAATTTTTTCCAGATTTCCTCTTGCATGAATAAATTCAATGACAAGAAACAAAAATTAAATAGCTAGGAATCAATGAAACCTTGCTCTGATACCGTGTTGGAAGGATTAACCTAGCTCTAATGGCTACTGTTACATTGAATATGTAGAGAGATAGAGAAAAAAGATCTTGAAAAAATGTAAAATGAACTCCCTTACTTGTATTCATATCTGATATACTATTTATACAGGTGGTTAAGGCTAACTGAATTATTAATTATCATAACCAACTAACAGCCTTACAATTAGTCTAACTAACTATGCAACAAATCAGAATACAAGCTTTACTAACTATTGCTCGAAGTACAATTTACACAACAAATGTAACTAACACTAATTCCACAGGTTTGATATGGATCTCAAAGATAACTCAGTCTTAACAATTGGAATAATTATGGATAAAGTAGCGGAAAAACTAATTGTCCCTTATTGCAGAAGCAATTTGCAAAAGAGCTGATGCGGTCCTACTTCTAATCAAATCATAATATGCATAATTCTCACTTAACTAATACAAATCACTGTTCCTCCTAGTGCAACTATCCACCTATGGAAGATGTTCAAGCTAACACTACCAACAAACTCTTCCATGTTCGAGCAAAGAAAACATTTTCCCGTACTTCACGTACAAGATCATTAAAATTGTACATCCACTCCTGTGTCGAAAAGGAAAGCTTTGCTGATTCTCTTCCGTTACCAAGCACAATCAACATTCATGAAGGAAGCAAACGAAAATGGAAAGTGGAGCCACCCAATGTACCTTAACAAGCTGGATCACTCAAAACGAAACAGAAACTAGATCTAGCGACTCGTCAAAAATACAACTGAAGGTCTTTTTTTTAATTTATAATTGTTCTACTTTTCAGTTCAACATTTATGATTTTACACCAGCTATTATAAATTAGGTCTATTGGTAAAACAATATCATATCACGTTTCCTCACTTCTTTAGATAGTAGTAAGTCTACTGTTAAAACAATATCATATCACGCTTCCTCACTTCATTTGATGGTATATACTTCCCTATTTGGAAGTACATCTGGAAAAAGATGCAACTTAGAAGGTTGTTTTCTCAGCTTCTTAGAGATAGTATGATGATGATTCTTATGAATCTCTGTTTCCACTTTCGGGCTAGCATTTATTAGGCTTATTAGTTATTTTTGGTCAGCAGCTGCATGTAAGCTCGCAAAAGTAGCTTGCTGCTCCCTGTGTGTAAATTAAATACACAGTGTGTTAGGAAATAGTGTTGATGTAGATTCACAAAGGTAAGTAATTACCTCATAAGTAAAGATGTTTTGGGAGCATTTTATGTACAAAGTTTTTGAGGCATGTATGCACAAACCAAAAAGTTAGCAATGCCTTTCCATATGAGGTGTGTAAGTATAAAAGAGTTGTATGGTAAGTAATATATTAGAATATATTAGGGAGTTAAGTTAGAATGCAGGAATATAAAGTACCTGTTTTCCACCAGTCAGTAGTAACTGTGAAAAAGTATTTTAATGAAATTGAGGGTCATATGTATGGTTTAATTTAATAAGAGCTGAATCCTTAAAACCTCATCAAATGCATTACCAAGTACTGCGAAAAAGCATATACTCAAATGATAGGTCGTTGGAGCCTCCCTCTCTAATACAGGAAATGGAAGAGACAGGTGTGTTGCATTATTTAAAGAGGGCCCATTTCAGTCTGATTCCAAAGCTAGCAAGAACACATTTATTGTAACAACCTGTTTAGTCGTTTTGAACAGCAGATTTTATTTCTGGAAAAACAGGCTGAGGCGACGGACCCCACGACGGACCGTCATGGGCACGACGGACCGTCGCAGGGTCTCGTTTCAAAACACTTAGAAAATCTGAAATTGGGTACTGAAAATCGACTCTCTAAACTTCGTGACGGAATGGCAGGACGGACCGTCACAGGCGTGACAGACCGTCACAGAGTCTTCAGTGGAAATCCAGTCTCTGAACCTTGCGTCGACCTGCAGGACAGACCGTCGCAGGCACGACGGGCCGTCGCAGGTTGCGTAATCCCAGTCTGGGTCGGATTTCTTTATACGTTTTAAGGGACGTTTTTGACTATAGTGGGTTAATTTTAATAAGTCTAATTACTTGGGGGTTAAAAGAGGTAACCTTAAGTTAATTAGTGGGTTATTATTGCCATCTTTTATTCTTAAGTATATACTAATTAGGGTAAAAGAAAGAGGGTTTGAATAAGAAGAGTAGAAAGAACAAAGGGAGAGAGAGGATCGAACGAGAAAGAAAGAAAACGAAGAACAAAGCTTGGGGAAATTGCTTGCTTGATCACTAATCTTCAGTGGAGGTAGGTTATGGTTTCTCTTACGATATTCGTAGTAAACTCTTAATAGCGAATGATATGTATTGATAATATTGTAAACCCTGCTATGTGCTTAATTGTATGCTTGCATGAATGTAACTATATAATTCTGATTATATTAAGCATGATGAAGTTATTGAATCCCAAATCTTGATAAAAACCTAATATCTTTTTAATGATGATGCCTTGGTAAGGGAGAAGGTTTGATGAACTAAAGTAATGAGATTGATGATTCCTTGGTAAGGGAGAAGGCTTGATGAATTGATAGAATGAGATTAGGGGATCGGGTGTCACGAACCGACACGTAGAATTAGGGGATCGGGTGTCACGAATCGACATGTAAAATTAGGGGATCGGGTGTCACGAACCGACACGTAGATTTAGGGGATCGGGTGTCACGAATCGACACGTAGATTTAGGGGATCGGGTGTCACGAACCGACACGTAGATTTAGGGGATCGGGTGTCACGAATCGACACGTATATTTAGGGGATCGGAGTGTCACGTTCCGACACATAGTAGTAGGGGATCGGAGTGTCACGTACCGACACAAGAAAATTAATGAATATGAGGGAGCGGAGTGTCACGTACTGACATAAGAGAAATAAAGATAATGAATCTTGAAAGATGTTAATATACTCAATCTAATGAACATAACTCCCACATGAGTATGGTATTGAGGCTTGAGTCCTCATGTGTGAACTTGACGGTAATTGTTAATGATATAGTACTTGCTGTTGCTACATGTTGAGTATCATAGTTGATTTTATGATATTACTTGGTATATATTGATTTCTATTTTGAGTTGGCCGATGATATCTACTCAGTACCCGTGTTTTGTACTGACCCCTACTTTTACGTTTTCTTCTTGTTTATTTGTGGAGTGCAGCAAACGTGCCGTCATCTTCGACTCAACAGTAACTCTAGCTAGTCTTCAATACTCCGGATATCAGGGTGAGCTAATGCTTTCTAGCTTGGACTGGATCTTCCTCTTCATGTCTTGATGCCTTGAAGTTCCGGCATGGACTAGCTTTTATGTATTTTTTAGCTTCTTAGAAACTTTTAGATTTAGTAATTTGAAGTAGATGTTCTTGTGATGATGACTTCCAGATTTTGGGAAATAATAGTTATTGAATTGGTTTTCATTAATGAGTTTAAGTCTTCCGCATTACTTTATGTTGATATTACATTGAAATGTTAAGGTTTGGATTGGTTGGTTCGCTCACATAGGAGGGTAAGTGTGGGTGCCAGTCGCGATCCGATTTGGGTCATGACAAACTTGGTACTAGAGCAATTAGGTTTGTTGGTCTCATCACACAAGAACGAGTCTAGTAGAGTCTTAAGGAACGGTAGGGGGACGCCTTTACTTTTCTTTGAGAAGCTATAAGACTTTAGGAAAATTCCATTCTTTCATTCTTTCTTTCATGCTATTACTTGGATCCAATTGGTATCTAGGTGATACAAATTGGTATCTGACCATCTTCACCCTATTTCGCAGATGGTTAGAACTAGAGCAACGACTGCGCCAACACCAACATCGGCAAGACAAGAAGCGTCCGAGCCAGCCACTGGGGCTGTTGCTCGAGGAAGAGTAGCGGCAAGAGGCCGTGGTAGAGGTCGTGGGAGGAAGTCCTCTAGAGGAAGAGGACGAGCACCTAGTCCGTCTGATACTAGGGCGGTGACTCCTCCACCGACTGAAAAAGTAGTAAGAGAGGGTGAGGAAGGGGAAACTGAACAAGTGCAAAATGAGGAATTGCCACCCCAACCTACCCCAGAGATGATCAATCAGGTTCTCGCTTATCTTAGTGGGTTGTCTGATCAGGGTCAGGCCCCTCCAGTGTTTTCTGCACCAACACCTCTGGTTTCAGAGGTACAACATGAAGCCACTATGGCTCCCCGTATGGATGCCTCATTGGACATAGGCACGTTTCCACGTCTGACTACCGGGCCTATAATGACAAATGATCAGCATGAACTTTTCAGTAAGTTCTTGAAATTGAAACCTCCAGTCTTCAAGGGTGCTGAATCGGAGGATGCTTATGATTTTCTGGTTGACTGTCACGAGCTACTACACAAGATGGGTATAATAGAACGGTTTGGTGTGGAGTTTGTGACTTATCAGTTTCAAGGGAACGCCAAAATGTGGTGGCGGTCACATGTCGAATGTCAACCAACAGAGGCACCACCTATGACTTGGGCCTCATTCTCTAGTTTGTTTATGGAGAAATATATCCCGTGGACTTTGAGGGATAGGAAAAGGGATGAGTTCTTGAGCCTAGAGCAAGGTAGGATGTTGGTCAATGCATATGAGGCTAAGTTTCGTGCACTATCTAGATATGCCACCCAACTTTGTTTCAGTCCACAAGAGCGGATTCATCGTTTTGTGAAGGGGTTGAGGTCAGAGTTGCGGATTTCAGCCTTACAGGTAGCGGCTACGGCAAAATCCTTCCAAGAAGTGGTAGATTTCGTGGTAGAGGTGGAAGGAGTGAAGCCAGATGAATTCACCATGGCATCGACATCAAAGAGGTTTCGAAAGGGAGGTGAGTTTAATGGTTCTTACTCTAGAGGACAGGGTTCCGGAGGTTACTTAGTTCCACCCATTCAGTCTTCACTACAAACTGTAGTTGGGGGTCCATCTCAGACCGGTCAACACTTCTCTGAGAGACCCATGCTTGACTCTAGAGAGTGTTATGGATGTGGGGAGACTGGACATATTAGGAGGAATTGTCCCAAACAGAGTTATAGACCCCCAATAGCTAGAGGTAGAGGTGGTCATGGTAGAGGCCGTTATTCTGGAGGACGTGGTGGTCGAGGTAATGGTGGTCACCAAAACGGCCGGGGTGATGGGCAAACTGGAGCCACTACACCACAACATGGTAGGGGCAACGGACAAACAAACGAAAGGGCCCATTGTTATGCTTTCACTGGGAGATCGGAGGAGGAGACATCTGATGCTGTCATCACAGGTAATCTTCTGGTTTGTGATTGCATGGCTTCTGTATTGTTTGATCTTGGATCCACATTTTCTTATGTATCTTCCTCATTTGCTAATGGTCTAAATTTACATTGTGAATTACTTGATACACCTATTCGTGTTTCTACTCCGGTGGGTGAGTCTGTGGTAGTTGAAAAGGTATATAGGTCTTGTTTGGTGAACTTTGTGGGGAGCAACACTTATGTAGATTTGGTTATCTTAGAAATGGTTGATTTTGATGTAATTCTGGGTATGACTTGGCTTTCTCCGCAATTTGCGATCTTGGATTGTAATGCTAAAACGGTGACGTTAGCCAAGCCTGGGACAGATCCGTTAGTGTGGGAGGGTGACTACACTTCCAATCCGGTGCGTATCATCTCCTTTCTTCGTGCTAAGAAAATGGTTAGTAAAGGGTGTTTAGCTTTCTTAGCACATCTCAAGGATGACACTACCCAAGTACCTTCGATTGAGTCGGTTTCGGTGGTCTGTGAGTTTCTGGATGTGTTCCCTGCAGATCTTCCTGGTATGCCACCAGATAGGGATATCGACTTCTGTATTGATCTTGAACCGGGTACTCGCCTCATTTCTATACCCCCTAATAGAATGGCTCCCGCGGAGTTAAGAGAGTTAAAAGCCCAACTTCAAGAGTTGTTGAGCAAAGGCTTCATTAGACCAATTGCATCTCCTTGGGGTGCTCCGGTGTTGTTTGTAAAGAAGAAGGATGGGAGTTTTCGGATGTGCATAGACTACCGGCAGTTGAACAAGGTAACCATAGAGAACAAGTATCCTCTTCCTCGCATTGATGACTTGTTCGATCAGTTACAAGGTGCTTGTGTCTTCTCTAAGATTGACTTGAGATACGGTTATCATCAATTGAAAATACGGGCAACGGATGTGCCAAAGACTGCTTTTCGAACGAGGTATGGGCATTACGAATTTGTAGTGATGTCTTTTTGTCTTACGAATGCCCCTGCTGCGTTCATGAGCTTGATGAATGGGATTTTTAAGTCATATTTAGACCTCTTTGTGATCGTGTTTATTAATGATATACTGATATACTTTAAAAGTAAGGAGGAACATGAGGAGCATTTGAGAATGGTATTGGAAATGTTGAGGGAGAAAAAGCTTTATGCCAAGTTCTCTAAGTGTGAGTTTTGGCTAGATGCAGTGTCCTTCTTGGGGCACGTGGTTTCTAAGGATGGAGTGATGGTGGATCCTTCTAAGATTTAGACAGTGAAGAATTGCGTAAGACCTACTAATGTGTCAGAAATAAGGAGCTTTGTTGGGTTAGCTAGCTACTATCGCCGATTTGTCAAGGGATTCTCTTCTATTGCTTCCCAACTGACGAACTTGACTAAGCAAAATGTTCCATTTGTATGGTCGGATGAGTGTGAGGAAAGCTTTCAGAAGCTCAAGACTTTGTTGACTACCGCACCCATTCTCACCTTGCCCGTAGAGGGTAAGAACTTCATTATTTATTGTGATGCATCCTATTCGGGTTTGGGTGCAGTGCTAATGCAAGAGAAGAATATGATTGCTTATGCTTCGAGGCAATTAAAAGTGCATGAACGTAACTATCCAACTCATGATTTGGAATTGGCTGCGGTAGTGTTTGCATTAAAGCAATGGAGACACTATTTATATGGGGTTAAGTGTGAGGTTTACACGGATCATCGTAGCCTTCAGTATGTCTTTACTCAGAAAGATTTGAACTTGAGATAGAGGAGATGGATGGAGCTACTAAAGGACTACGATATCACTATTCTGTATCATCCGGGGAAGGCGAATGTTGTAGCGAATGCTTTAAGTAGAAAGGTGGGAAGTATGGGAAGTCTAGCTCACTTGCAAGCTTCTAGACGCCCATTGGCTAGAGAAGTTCAGATTCTGGCTAACAACCTTATGAGATTAGAAGTAAATGAGAAGGGAGGATTTTTAGCTTGTGTGGAGGCAAGATCTTCCTTCCTTGACAAGATTAAGGGAAAGCAGTTTAATGATGAAAAATTGATCCGGATCCGAGATAAAGTGTTGCAAGGAGAGGCTAAAGAAGCGACAATCGATGAGGAAGGTGTTTTGAGGATTAAGTGAAGGGTATGTGTACCCCGCGTCGATGATTTGATCAACACTATTCTGACAGAGGCTCATAGTTCAAGGTATTCGATACATCCGGGTGCAACCAAGATGTACCGTGACCTAAAGCAACACTTTTGGTGGAGTAGAATGAAGCGTGATATTGTGGATTTTATTGCCAAATGTCCAAACTGTCAACAAGTAAAGTATGAACACCAATGGCCCGGAGGAACACTTCAGAGAATGCCCATTCCTGAATGGAAGTGGGAAAGGATTGCAATGGATTTCGTGGTTGGTCTTCCAAAGATATTGGGAAAGTTTGATTTTATTTGGGTAATTGTTGATAGGTTAACTAAGTCTGCTCACTTCATTCCGGTCAAGGTGACTTACAATGCAGAGAAGTTAGCCAAACTTTACATCTCGGAAGTGGTGCGATTGCATGGGGTTCCACTCTCCATTATATCATATAGAGGTACGCAGTTTACTTCTATGTTTTGGAAAACATTGCATGCGGAATTGGGTACTAGGTTGGACCTTAGTACTGCATTCCATCCTCAGACCGATGGTCAGTCTGAGCGAACGATTCAAGTATTGAAGGATATGCTTCGTGCATGTGTGATAGAATTTGGTGGTCAGTGGGATAGCTTCTTACCCTTAGCAGAGTTCTCCTACAACAATAACTATCACTCAAGCATTGATATGGCCCCATTTGAGGCACTATATGGGAGAAGATGTAGGTCTCCCATTGAGTGGTTTGATGCATTTGAAGTTAGACCTTGGGGTACTGACCTTTTGAGGGAATCGTTAGATAAAGTGAAATCTATTCAAGAAAAGCTTCTAGCGGCGCAAAGTAGACAGAAGGAGTACGCAGATCGGAAGGTTAGAGACTTGTAGTT